GCCGCGGCGCCGGAGCCGCCCGCGGCGCCCGCGCCGCCGCCGCCGCCGCCGCCGTCGCCGCGGCCGACGCGCGCGCCGTCGCCGCGGCCGACGGCGCCGCCGCGGCGCGCCGACGCGGAGGCGCCGCCGCTCGGCGGCGTCGTGCTCGTCGTCATGGCCCACGACCGCGCGGCGTCCGTGCGCGACTGCCTCCGCGCGTGCCTGCGGTCGCCGCGGGCGGCGGAGCTCCTCGCCGTCGCCGTTTCCATGGACGCGCCGGGCGCCTACGGCGACCTCGAGCGCGCGGCGGGGACGGAGGGCGCGGCGGCGGGCGCGAAGGTCCTCGCCTGGCGCCACGGCTACGCGCCGCGGGCCGACGCGCCGAAGCGGTTCGCGGGCGACGCGCTCGCGAAGATCTCGGAGCACGTCCGCGCGGCGCTCGCCGAGGCGTTCCGGGTGCCCGGCGCCGAGTTCGCGCTCCTCCTCGAGGACGACCTCCGCGTCGCCGGCGACTTTTTCGACCTCTTCGCGTTCGCGGCGGTCGAGCTCCGGCGCGACGACGTCGCTCTGGTGCGCGTCCGCGTGGAACGACAACGCGGGCCCCGCGGCGGCGGGCTTCGACTGGCGGCCGGGCGTGCTGCGGCGCACGACCTACTTCCCGGGCCTCGGCTGGATGGTCGGGAAAGCGACCTTCGAGCGCGACTTCGCGGCCGCGTGGCCCGCGGCGCCGACGACGGGCTGGGACCACTGGATCCGGGCCGCGACGCGCGACGGCGGCCGCGAGTGCCTCTTCCCCGAGGTGCCCCGCGTGCGCCACGCGGCGACGGGCGGCTCGACGAACGTCCGGGGCTCCGAGGCCGCGGCGCTCGAGCGCCACGCGTTCGCCGGCGACGCGTCGGCCGTCCGGGCCTTTGAGCTCGCGCCGTCGGACCTCGCCGGCGCCGTGGGCGGCGCGCCGCGCGTCGCCCTCGGCGACGTCGGAAACCTGCCCCGGGGCGCCGCGCGCGTCCTCGTCGCGCGGCTGCCCGAGGACCACGCGGCGCTCGCGAAGACGGCTCGCGCTCTGGCACACGGAGCCCCGGGGCTTCGCCAAGGAGGGCGTGCTCGTGCTCCGCCGCGCCGACGACGTCACGCTCTACGTCGCCGACGCCCGCAAATGCGCCTGGCTCGCACCCGGCGAGCGCGTCGACCGCCCGGCGGCCGCGGTCACGGCGCCCGCGCGCGCCGCGGGCGTCTCCTGCGACGAGGCCTGCGCGGGCCGCGGCCTGCGCTGCGACGCCAGGCTCCTCGTCTTCGCCGACGCGTGCGCCGCCCTCGCGGCCCACTTCCCCTGCGAGGCGGGCTGCGGCCACCAGCTCGGCGTCGAGCTCCCGGCCTACGTGACGTCCAAGGCCGAGGCCACGGCGGGCCAGTGCCTCATCGCCAACGGCGGCGCCACGCCGACCTGCGCCGCCAAGCACCGGGCCACCCAGCGCCTCTGCGTCTGCGTGTCGTAACATTTTTTCAGCTTAGCAGCGTGAATAGCGCGCTGGTTAATGTTGCCCAAAAGGTGCCGCTCTCGAAGCCGCTCTCCGCTGGCCTGCGCTCGCGGCGCCGTCGAGCGTTTCTCTGCGTCGCGCGCGCGCCGTTCCAGCGCTCACTCGCACGCTTGAGCAGCCGACGCATCGATGTCCATCACGTTCGACTTCCCGGCGGGCCCCTTCAGCCCGCGCCTGGGCGGCGGCGCACGAGCACCAACACCGCCCGCTGCGTCGCCGGCCGCGAAGGCGTCGAACCCGGCGGCCGACGTCCTGCGCGCCTTCGGCGAGAAGACGGCGGCGGACGACGAGTCGTCGGACGACGACGAGGCGCCGGCCGCGCGCCTCTACGAGACCTGGTTTTGCCAGGCGTGCACGCTCGAGAACGCGCACGTCGACGCCTGCTGCGACGCGTGCGGCGAGGCGCGGCCGGGGGCGGCGCGGCGCGCGGAGCGCGACGCGGAGCGCGAGTCGGCGGCGGCGCGCGCGGCCGAGGCGGAGCGCGCGGCGGCGCGCGAGACGACCCGTCTCCGCGACGAGGCGCGCGCGGACCTCGACGACCTCTTCGCCGACGCGGCGGCGCCGCGCGCGCCGACGCGCCGGCGCAACAACTCGTCTACCCGCGTCTACCTGCTCGAGCTGCCGACGGACGCGCTCGAGCGCGCGCTCGCCTACCTCGCGGGCGCGGGCGGCGCGGCCGCGGCGCTCCGGGCGACGGCGCCGGCGTGCCTCGCGCTCGGCGAGAGCGACGCGCTCTGGGGCCGCGTCGAGGCGCTCGCCGGCTGCCAGTGGGCGTCGCGGCGCATCAGGGCGCTCGAAAACGCGGCCGCGGGCCAGTGGGGCTGCCTCGCGTCGGGCTGGCGCTGGCTGCTGCGCGCGGCGACCACCACGCTCCTCGACGCGGCCGCGGAGGGCCGCGCGCCGCCGCCGACGCGCGACGAGGCCTGGCTCCGCGCGGCGGCGGCGTCGCTCCCGGCGGCGGACCGGCGCCGCGCGGAGCGCGCGGCCGCGGCGACGGCCTTCGAGGCCCTCGACGCGACGGTCGCGGGCCAGTGGGCGCGGGCCGTGCAGGTGTGCCTGCGCAGGGACCCGGAGCTCCTGGCGGCCTGCGTCGGGGCCGTCGCGGCGACGACGGTCGCGGAGCAGCTGAGCCGGCGCGACGGCGGCGGCGTCGCCGCGGCCTGGGCGACGTTCTCGCGCTGGGTCGACGCCGTCGAGCGCGGGCTCGTCGACCTCGACGACGCGCTCGAGGCGCGGCGCCAGCGCCTGCCCCTGGGCCGCGGCGCGGCCGAGCGGCTCTGCCCGCCGGTGCGCGCGCGCTGCGCCGCCGCGTTCCGCGCGGCCGCGCTCGTCGCGCCGCGGCCGGGCCGGCGGCCCCGCGCGGCGCTCGCGGCCGCCGTCGCGCCGCTCGTCGCGGGCGTCGCGGACGAGTTCGAGATCTGCGCGGACGCCGCGGCGGCGCCGGCCGACGAGCCGGACTTTTCGGACGCCGCGTTCCGCTTCGCCGCGCGGCGCCTCGCGGGCGCCATGGAGCCCGGCGCGGCCGCGCGGGCGCTCGCGGGCCTGCCGCCGGGCCTCGCCGACTGCCTCGAGGACGTCGACCGCGCGGACGTCGGCGACGCGCACCGCCAACCGCTCCGCGTCGCGCTCCTCCTCCCCATCGTCGCTGCGCGCGCCGCGGCCGCCCGGTCGCCGCCGCCGCCGCTCCAGCAGGCGCCGCCGGGCGCGCGCTGGGGCGGCTGCGACCGCGTGCGGCGCGGGTAACACTCTTCTCTCGAGACTGCAACTTTATGCAACTTGAGTTCAAGGTGACGGATACTTTGACGGATCGCCGAAATCGGGCGGCAATCGAGGCCATGGCAATGCGGCGGACGCTGCGCGCGGCCGCGCGGCCGCAGCGGCCCGCCGCGCGCCGCTTCGACACGTCGAGCAAGGACCCCGTGGCCAACTACCGCGACGTCGGCGGCGTCGTCGACGCCTACGTGAACCCGGAGCCCGGCGACGCGGGCAAGCCGAACAAGTACAGCGCGACGCTCACGCAGCACGCGCGGCGCGGCGGCGCCCAGGCCATGCTCGTGCCCTGCGGCGTGGACAGCGCGGCGAAGCTCGCGCAGCCCCAGGTGGGCATCGCGAGCGTCTGGTGGGAGGGCAACCCGTGCAACATGCACCTCCTCGAGCTGAGCGAGGAGGTCAAGGCGAGCGTCGCGGCCGAGGCGCTCGTGCCCCTGCGCTACAACACCGTGGGCGTGTCCGACGCCATCTCCATGGGCACGGGGGGCATGCGCTACAGCCTCCAGAGCCGCGACGTCATCGCCGACAGCGTCGAGACCGTCGCGGCGGCGCAGTTCTACGACGGCCTCGTCACGATCGCGGGCTGCGACAAGAACATGCCCGGCTGCATGATGGCCATGGGGCGGCTGAATCGCCCGGCCCTCATGGTCTACGGCGGCACGATCCGCCGGGGGAAGCTGCCGAGCTCCGGGCGGACGATCAACATCGTCGACGCGTTCGAGGGCTACGGGAAGTTGGTCGCGGGCGCCATCTCGCCCCAGGAGCGCGCGGAGACCATCGCCTGCGCCTGCCCCGGCGCGGGCGCCTGCGGCGGCATGTACACGGCGAACACGATGGCGACGGTCGTCGAGGCCATGGGCATGAGCCTACCTTATAGCGCGTGCACGCCCGCGGACGCGAAGGGCGACGAGTGCGGCCGCGTCGGCGCGGCGATGCGCGACATGATCGACCAAAACCGCCGGCCCCGGGACATCTGCGACAAGCGGAGCTTCCTCAACGCCATCGCCGTCGCGAACTGCGTCGGCGGCTCGACGAACGCCGTGCTGCACCTGCTGGCGATGGCGCGCGCGTTCGCCGTGGACCTGACCTACGACGACTTCGAGGACGTGCGGCGGAAGACGCCCGTGCTCTGCGACATGAAGCCCTGGGGCGCCCACCTCATGGAGGACCTGCACGACGCGGGCGGCGTGCCGGGCGTCCTGTCTCGCATGATCGACGCGGGCGCGCTGCCCCACCCGGACGCGCTGACGCTCTCGGGCGCGGCGCTCGGCGACGTCGTGCGGGACGCGACCCTCCCGGCGGGCCACGCGATCATGCGGCCGGTCGACGACCCCATCAAGGCGAGCGGCCACCTCACGGTCCTCGCGGGGTCGCTCGCGCCCGACGGCGCCGTCGGCAAGATCACGGGCAAGGAGGGCATGGTCTTCCGGGGGCCGGCGCAGGTCTTCGACAGCGAGCCGGCCATGCTCGACGCGCTGGACGCGGGGTTGATTCGGCCGGGCGCCGTCGTCGTCATTCGCTACAGCGGCCCGCGCGGCGGGCCGGGCATGCCCGAGATGCTCACGCCGACGTCGGCGCTCATGGGCGCGGGCCTCGGCGACAAGTGCGCCGTGCTCACGGACGGCCGCTTCTCCGGGGGCACGCACGGCTTCGCCATCGGCCACGTGACGCGGACGGCGGGCCCATCGCGCTCCTCCGCGACGGCGACGTCGTCACCATCGACGCGGAGCGGCGCTTGATCTCCCACGACGTCGGCGACGCCGACCTGGCCGCGCGGAGGGCCGCGTGGACCCCGCCGGCGCCGCGGGTGACGCGCGGCGCGCTCGCGAACTACTACAAGAGCGTCTCCTCGCCCAAGTACGGCTGCGTCACGGACATGATCCCCGGCTTCGAATCATAGTAAGAGGCGGGGGCGGACCTGGGGGATGCTCACGACGCGGACTCCGCGTCGCCCTGGCCGGGGTGGACGCGGCGGAGGTCGTCGGCCGAGTCGACGCGGCGGATCTCGTCGCCGTTCGCGTCGTCCGTGACCTCCGAGATGCGGTCGAGGTCGCTCTTGCCGAGCTCGGCGTCGAGGAACGTGTCCATCTCGTAGGCCGACCTGCCGTGGTGCGCGTCGTCGAGGCCGTCGATCTCCTCGTCCATGGACACGCGGAGCGCGCCCGCGCGGCGGAACAGGAGGAAGAAGGGCCCCATCGTCGCGCCGACCCAGAGCGCGATGGCGCCGAAGGCGACGGCCTGGGCGCCGAGGAGCGACCCGTCGCCGCCGTAGAGCAGGCCCCTGGCGTCGGAGCCGTAGACGGCGCGCATGCGCGAGGGCGCCGCGAAGAGCGCGGGCGCGAGCATGCCCCAGGCGCCGGCGAAGAAGTGGACGGCCGTCGCGTTCACGGCGTCGTCGACCTTGCGCCGCTCGAGGAACGCGGCGCCCCAGGCGTAGGACCACGCGCCCCCGGCGCCGACGGCGACGGCGGCCCAGGGCTCGACGACGGCGCAGGAGCCCGTCGTCGACGCGAGGCCCGCCAAAAGGCCGTTGCACATCTCCGCGACGTCGTAGGTCCCGTTGAGGCGGTACGTCGCCAACAAGCTCGCCAGCCCGCCGGCGACGGCGCCGAGCGTCGTCGTCACGGCGACGCGCGCGGCCGTCTCCGGCTGCTCCGCGTCGCGCGTGAGCGCGAGCGTCGACCCCGGGTTGAAGCCGTACCAGCCGATCCAGAGGAGGAACGTGCCGAGCACGACGAGGGGCATGGAGTGGCCGCGGATCGGCGTGTTCCGCCGCAGCGTCGCGATCAGCGCCGCGTCGACGCCCCGCTCCGACGCCGCGTCCTCGAAGCGGCCGAGCCGCGGGCCCAGGACCCGCACGGCGATGCCCGCGGCGCCGCCGCCGACCATGTGGACGACGCCGGAGCCCGCGAAGTCGACGGCGCCGACGCCGAAGAGCGGGCTCGGGCGGTTCGGGCTCAGCCAGCCCGCGTCGGACCAGACCCAGTGCGCGACGACGGGCCAGACGAAGCCCGCGAGGAACGCCGAGTAGCCCGCGTACCTGGATATTCAACCCGACTTCAATGTGCGCGTATTCGAATGTTTTGACAAAACACTCCCGCTGCGCTTCGAGAACTCGCTGAGAGCAATCGATCCGTCCAAAAATCAGCCGAATCGACTTCGATTTGATTGAGATGGAGAGTTCTGAAGTTTGGTGGGGACCCCCCAAACCAGTCGTTGATTTCCACACAGCCGCGTACGCGGCCAACGCGCAGCGCTCCGCGACGGCGCCGGAGACGATCGTCGCGGACGTCGCGGCGAAGGCGAACTGGAAGAACCAGGACTTGAAGCCGTGCGACTCCGCGCCCTCGAAGCCGTCGGAGAGGAAGAAGTGGCGCGACCCGACGAAGCGCGACCCGCGCGACCCGTCGCCCGGGCCGCCGTACGCGAACGCGTAGCCCGTGGCCCAGAACGAGAGCGCGCCGACGCAGAGATCCAGCAGGTTCTTCAGCAGGATGTTCTGCGCGTTCTTCGCGCGGATGGACCCCGCGCAGAGCATGGCGAATCCCGCCTGCATCAGCAGGACGAGCACGCCGCAGTAGAGCACCCAGTGCGTGTCCAGGGCGAAGGCCACGGACGCCGGGGCGTAGCGCGCGTCGAGGAACTCGAGCTCTTCATTCGTGAAGTTCATCGCGCGTATCGGGGGGGCGGTCCCTCTCTCTCTAGCGCATTAGGCGACGCACCCCGCCTACGCGCCTGCGTCTCGCGCGAAGGACCGGGGCCCGCGGTCGTCGACCGCGGGCAGCGACGAAGCGACGACGACGCCGCGCGTGATGGCCTGCGGCCTTGAAGGCACCGTGCATCACGATTTAGTCGTCGCGCGCCGCCGGCGAGGGCGGCGCCGTGCTGAGGAGCGTGTAGACGGCGGAGCCGCGGTAGTAGTTGCCGACGCGGCGCGTGGGGGGGCACCCCGTGTGGGTGGCGCCGTCCTGGCGCGGCACGCGCTTGGTGCACTCCAGCGCGTGCGTGTAGACGCCGCCCGCGCGCACGTCGTTGGCCCAGAAGCCGCCGTTCGCCAACTGGAGGTTGAAGGCCTTGGAGGCGTCGTGCGGCACGGTGCGGAACTTGACACTGGTGTTGTGCTCGACGTCGACGTCCGTCGCGGGCACGAAGAAACCGTCGTCGCGCAGGTAGTAGTAGAAGGCGACCGTCACGACGAAGATCGGGTAGAAGAGCTTGTTGCCGTTGGCGCCGTAGCTCAGCACCTTGACGTCGCGGTGGGGCGCGAGGCTCGACTCGCCGGGCACCACCTTCGCGACGAAGAGCACGCGGTCCGCGCGCCAGCGGTTGCTCGGGACGACGGACCCGGGCTGCGGCTCGTGGGAGGAGGTTAAGCCCTTCGCGTTGTGGATCAGGTCGTCGAGCGCGGCGCCCGTGACCTCGGTGCGGCCCTGGTTGCCGTGGACGGCGTCCTCGAGCCGCTTCGACCAGTTGACCTTGTTCGGCACCTGGGATGCGACGTCGGTGAAGTTCTGGTTGATGCCGGCGTTGAAGAAGCCCGGGTAGCTGTAGGTCTCGGGCCGCCGCGCCTTGAGGAACAGGTTCTCGTCGAAGGGGCACTTCACCATGTCGGCCTGGGCGCCGAACGCGTCGGCGCGGAGGTTCTCGAACCTCGCCGGCGGCCGCGACGTCGTCGCGGCGTCGTTGCGGGGCAGCGACGCGCCGTCGTCGTAGAGGAGGACCGTCGAGCGCCCCCGACCGGTCACCCGGCTCGTCGACGACGTGGCGACGAAGATGCCGTCGCCGTTCGACAGCGCCGAGAAGCCCCTGATCATGTGCAGGTGCTCGGGCGCCTTGGCCGTGGGGAAGACCGAGGAGGCCGTGTGGTCGCCGTCGTCGTCCTTCTTCGCGAGGGACGCGACGGGCTTGCCGGCCGCCTTGGCCGCGGCGTCGGCCGCCTCGGCCGCGGCGTCGGCCTTGACCTTGGCGTCGGCCGGCATGGCCCACAGCGGCGTCGGCTCGTGGACGCCCGCCTCGTTCGCCGAGATGCACCAAAGCTCGGCGGCGATGTAGCGCACGTCGATGACCGTGAGGGACTCGCCCGCGAGCATGCCCGCCTCGACCTCGTGCTTGAAGCCGCGCAACTCGCAGAGCACGGCCTGCTCGAGCGCGTGGCGCCGCGCCTCCTCGCAGAGCACGGCCTGCTCGAGCGCGTGGCGCCGCGCCTCCTCCAGGCGCCGCTCGCGGTTCGCGTGCTTGGCGTCGTCGGCGGCGGCGTCGGCGGCGGCGCGGTCCGCACGCTTGAGGAGCTTCTCGAGCGCCTTGCTCTCGCGGTCGCGCTCGCGGTTCGCGTGCTTGGCGTCGTCGGCGACGGCGTTGGCGGCGGCGGCGTCCGCGCGCTTGAGGAGCTTCTCGAGCGCCTTGCTCTCGCGGTCGCGCTCGCGGTTCGCGTGCTTGGCGTCGTCGGCGACGGCGTTGGCGGCGGCGGCGTCCGCGCGCTTGAGGAGCTTCTCGAGGGCCTTCTCGAGGGCCTTGCGCTCGCAGTCGCGCTTCTCGAGGGCCTCGCGCTCGCGCTTCTCGACGAACGCCTTCTCCTTGGCCTTCGCGAGGGCCTTGGCGTCGGCCTGGGAAAGGCCGGCGACGTAGCGCTTCATCGGGGCCGAGTGCCAGTGCAGCTTGACCGCGTTCTCGTTTCGGCGGGGCAGGCCCTTGGCGACCTCGCTCCACTCGTCGCCGTACTGCAGGTAGAGCTCGAGGAGGCGCTGGTGCTCGTGCTGCGTCCACGGGCCCGTCCACGGGCCCGACGCCACGCGCGCCTTCTCCTTGGCCTTCGCGAGGGCCTTGGCGTCGGCCTGGGAAAGTCCGGCGAGGTAGCGCTTCATCGCGGGCGAATCGTTCCAGTGTTGCTTCACCGCTTCCTCCGTCCGGCCGGGCAGGCCCTTGGCGACCTCGCTCCAGTTGTTGGGGTACTGCACGTAGAGCTCGAGGACGCGCTGGTGCTCGTGCGGCGTCCACGGGCTCGACGTGCACGCCTTCTCCTTGGCCTCCTCGAGGGCCGCGGCCTCGGCCGGCGGCAGCGCGTCGATGTAGCGCTTCATCGCGGCCGAGTACCAGTGGTGCTCGACGGCGGACTCGTTCCGGCCGGGCAGGCCCTTGGCGACCTCGCTCCAGTCGTTGCGGTACTGCAGGTAGAGCTCGCGGAGGAGCTGGTGCTCGTGCGGCGTCCACGGGCCCGACGTCGCCTTCTCCTTGGCCTCCGCGAGGGCAGCGCCCTCGGCCGGCGGCAGCGCGTCGAGGTAGCGCTTCATCGTGGCCGAGGACCAGTGTCTCTCGACGGCGACCTCGGTCCGGCCGGGCAGGCCCTTGGCGACCTTGCTCCAGTCGTTGGGGTACTGCACGTAGAGCTCGACGACGCGCTGGTGCTCGCGCTCCGTCCACCGGCTCGACGTGCGCGCCTTCTCCTTGGCCTCCGCGAGGGCCGCGGCCGCGGCCGGCGGCAGCGCGTCGAAGACGCCGGCGAGGGCGTCGGCGTAGCGCTTCTCGAACTTGACGTCAAGCCAGAGCGCCGCCTCGTGGACGTCGTCGCCCTCGACGTTGAACGTCATCGCGTTGCGGAACACGAGGCGCACGTCGGCCGCGAACGTGTGCACCGTGTAGTCGCCCGCGTCGAGCTTGGCCTTGACCGTGCCGAAGTCCATGGGCGCGGCGACGATCGTCGGGTAGTCGTCGTTGCCCATGACCTCCGGGTCCACGGGCTCGAGGAACCACTCGGCCTGCTTCGTCCGCATGAGGTACTCGAGCACGTCGCCGCAGGCCGCGAGGCACGCGGCGCCGACGGCCGCCTCCGCCGCCGTCGGCGGCGCCTCGTCGACGGCCATGGCGTCGGGCGCCGCGGCCGCGGCCGCCTCGGAGTCGTCGTTGTCGTCGCCGCCGGGCGGGTCCGAGGGCTTCGCGTCGCCCGCGGCGCCGATGCGCTGGAGCCCCGCCTTGGCCTCGTCGTCGCCGAGCTCGGCCGCGCAGGAGTAGTAGTGGTACGCGGCGCGCCGGTCCGCGTTGACGCCGTCGCCGCCGTGCTCGAGCGCCTTGGCCGCGAGGAGCATGCAGACGAGGTGGCGCGCGTCCGCCGCGGTGCGCCAGGCTGCGACGGCGGCGGCGAAGTCGACGTCGAAGCCCAGCAGGCCGTCGCGGCGGCAGAGGCCGAGCACGTAGTAGCTCCGGCAGTCGCCGTGCGTCGCCAACTCGAGGAGCGCCGCGCGGCCCTTGGCGAGGTCGACCTTGAGCTTCGTGACGCCGTTGACCTCCTCCGAGTTCTCCGGCGTGTACTCGTCGACGGGCGGCGCGAGGCCCAGGCGCACGAGCGCCTCGACGTTGCCGTGGTGCGCGGCCTTGAGCCAGAGCTCCGTGTTCTCCTGGTAGCCGCGGACGTACACGGGGTCGCTGCGGCTCCGGAGCACGGCGGGCGGGAGCTGCACGAGGTCCGCCTTCGCGTCGACGGCCATGGCGTCGGCCTCGGGCGTCTCCGCCGCGACCGCCTCCTGCACGGGCGCCTCCGCCGCGGGCGCCTCCGCCGCGGTCGCGTCCGCGGCGTCGCCGTCCGCGGCGTCGAGCGCGTCGGACGCGCCGCGCGGGCTCCGGGGGCTCGACGGCTGCGCGGGCGCCTCCCAGGGCAGCAGGTAGGACGGGTTGTCCACGAGCTCGCCGGGGATGAAGCGCCGGCCGTTCGCGATAAAGGCCGCGCCCGGCGACACCGTCGTCGCGACGCGCCGCGACGCCTCGTCGAGCTCCGCGGGCGCGACGGCGCGCGGCCGCGGCGACGAGAACGCAAAGCGCGCGCGCCCGGCCGCGCCCGCGGGCAGCGGCGACGAGCACGTCTCCGGCCAGAGCTGCAGGAGCTCGGGCCCGAACGCCGCCTTCCGCGCCGCGTCGGCCTCGGCGAAGGCCGCCGTCACGTAGGTCACTCGCTGCCGCTGCGGCGGCGCAGGACCCTCGGCCCCGGCCGCCGCCGCCCGCGACGCCGCCGCCCGCGACGCGTCGGCCGCGTCCGCGCCGCCGCCGTCCGCGCAGAGCTGCTTCGCGCCGCCGTCGCGCGCGCCGGCCGCCGCGCCGTCGCCGCGGGGCCGCTTCGCGTCGCCGTCGCGCGCGTCGGCCGCCGCGCCGTCGCGGTCCGCGCGGGACCGCTTCCGCGTGGCGTGGGCCTCGGGCGCGGGCGCCGCGGCCGCCTCCTGCACGGGCTCCTCCTGCACGGGCGCGAACGGCGCCCGACGCCGCGGCGCCGCTCCCGAGTCGTTCGCCGCCGCGCCGCCGTACGCGAACGCCTGTGGGATTGGGGGTCTTGGGTACGCGGAGGGGGGTCGGGGACGGGGTGCGGGGCGGGGTGCGGGGGTCGGCGCGCACCTCGTCGGCCATTTGGTCGTTTGCGCTAAGATGTGCTGACAAGCTGAGGCCAACAACAAACAGCAGATGCCTGACCATAAAAACACCCAGGGGGGCGCGCAGGGGGCGTGGGGAGGGCGCGCGACGTATCGCTTTTGTTGCTCGCGTCGTCTAGGCCGCACACGTCGCGCCTTGGAGCTCCGCGATTTTGAATGAGTGGGTGCTCTGCTCTTGGGACTGTGGCAAAAACAAACAGCCCAAACTGCGAAGTTTGAGAGCCGCGGGGGCCCGTCGCAGCGCATCGAGAATCTTCACCTCGTCGTACCGCGCCTCGTCGGCGTCGTCGCCGCCATCGCGAGGGCGCAGCAGCAGCTCACGGCGGCTCCGCGGTCGCCGCCGTCGGGCGTCGGGCGTCGGGCGTCGCAGCGCCGACGTCACGACATGGTCGCGGTCGCGCCGCCCGTCGTCGCGGAAGCACAACGGCGGCGCCTGGGTCGTGCCCCGCCGCGGGGCGCGTCGGGTCATGCCCGCCTCCTCGGCCTCGGCGGCCGATGTCCAGCGACTGCGGCCCCATGAGGCGGCGGGCAGCCGCCCCCCTTCCAGCCCGAGGGACAGGCTTGGGCTGGAGGCCCGACGACACCCGCGCGATGCCCATCCCCGCCCCGAAGAACGAGGACTCGTCGCGGGGCGACGGGGACGTCGTCGGCAGCTGCCGCCGTCACAGGTCGTTGCGATTCAGCTAAGTCTTCGCCCCGGTCCCCAACATGAATCCCATCAAG